CTAGTGTCTTCTCTCTGTGTTCTCCCAACTCGTGGTGTGTGTGTGTGTGTGTGTGTGTGTGTGTGTGTGTGTGTTTAATTACTATAGTTTTAGAGAGTTTTCTGGAAGGAGTGAAATTAAATGACTCATCCATGATCTTTAATTCTAAATGAATTCTAACAGACATAATAAAAGAGATACATTTTTGCTTTGCTTATGTAATATTTCTGTTGATCTTCAATTTTTATTAGGTGTTATACCTGAAGAACCTTAGCCCTCATGTGACTGAAAGAGATCTTGTGTCATTGTTCGCTCGGTTCCAGGAAAAAAAAGGGCCTCCGATTCAATTTCGAATGATGACTGGACGTATGAGGGGGCAGGCTTTCATCACCTTTCCCAGTAAGTAGTGTCATCTAGATAATTACATAGGTATAGCATCAGTTCACTGGAAACTACCTATAAAACTCTCTAATTTAGATAGAGCCCTTTGATTTCTCCACAGTACACAAAAAGAAGGGAAGGGAAATAAGGAATGAATGGCCACTTCACCTCAGTGACCTCAATTTTCCTTCTTACCCTTACCAAAATCTTCTTTGCCTTTGCTGACAGTACTATGTCTAGTACAACTTATAGTCAGATTAATGCAGTTCTTAATATTTTGGTATTCTGATTAGAGAACATGTATGTGCTTTGTGCTCAATTCCTTTCGGACTAAGTGATGACATGCTAGCATACTGATTATTATTATTAAGTTATAATTAGTGAATGATGATACATTCTTTTAAATATTGATTGGATATTAATAATACATGGCTTAATATTCTAATCCAGGGACCAGCAGTTAGCATAATGGCTATGTTGCTGGACTCCCATGTAGTTGACTGCGGTTCAAGTCCCAGACCTGGTGGCTTAAACTCATGCCGGGTGCATGTGCACGTGTGCCCAAGATCCCGAGAGGAGAAAGGAGGAGAAGGGATTGCGGCATGGCCATACCCCCGAGGGGTGAATTCTCACTTTCTGTCTCTCTATCTCTCTCTGGCGAGTGCACGCACCCTATAGCGAAAACCTCTCCAAAAAAAAAAAATATTCTAATCCAAAGGGAAGAATAATATAGGAATTTTAGTTTCTATGATAAACCAGACAATATGTTTATTTTGGAGGAGGTTTGGTAGGATCCCTGCCTTTCATTGTCTCAGAACTATCATCATATACAAATAGCCTACTAATCTATATTTAGGCAGGTAGTTTTATACACACATACAGCCAAATTTCTCTCCATTGTTTTTATACAGTCTTATACCATCTTTCATATCTTATTGGAATTTTATAGATCCTCTATATCAGTGGTTTTCAGTCTTTTCAAGTGTGAGGCCCCTTTTAAACTGAAAGAATTTTTCATGGGCACCCATGTAATATGATTATTCATTGAAAAAAATGAGTAATAAAAAACACTTTTAAGCTAAGTACTTTTAAATGTATAATTGTTTTAGTAGTCATAACAGCAGCTATACACATTTGGAAATTTGTTGGGACCAGCAGATGATATAATGGTTACATTACTGGCCTCCCACATAATCAACTGTGGTTTGAGTCCCAGACTAGGCGGCTTAAAATTCAGGAGGAGGAATTGTGGCATGGTCATAACCCCCTGAGGGGTGAGTTCTTGCTTTCTGTCTCTCTGTCCCTCTCTGTCTATCCAGCAAGTTTTTTTTTTTTTTTTTGCTCTACGGCATGTGC